CATGAAGGCCTTATGCATATGGCTGAAATTCATGCTACAGTCCTGACTCTGACAGAGTGATAGTAAGACTGCCACATACAGTACCTGAATAATCATACAACACTTTATTAGTAATGTACTTCATCATAAAACTCTGAAGATAGAAGCACTAGATTTGTACCTCTACTTCAGTTTATATTTCTTCCACGTTTAATATGATTTTTAACTAAACATAAGATAGAATTTTGAAACAGAACAAAAAGATAAAAATCTACAAACAGCTCAGTCTGAGCAAGTAGCTTTAACAGAGAAAAAAAGAAACATCTGATCAGTGTTTAAACTACTGACACATGCTGCGTGATACAAAACTGCGAATAGGAGCACGTATTCTTCACTCATGACTCTCTCGCTTTGCCACCCACTCACTCATTTCTTTCCAAAGGAAACCTGAATCAGTAGCTCATCAAAGTGATTCAGATACACGTTTTAATATTCATTTTCATTATGTTACATTTGTCAGAAAAGAATAATTGAATATTGTGTGGGGGCACTGCACTGGGATGTGCAGTCCAAACATTGTAACCTTTCCACAGTCCTGCTGTCGTACATCCCCTCAGAAAACATTCACGCAAAATCATTTACACCTAATTCAGGGAGTGTCAGTAGAATGAAAATTTATAAAAAGCAGAGCAAAGTTGATGGGCTGTATTTTATAAACCTTAGACTCACAAAGCTTATCTAGTCCATCTCCCTAGCAGTGTAAAATTGTTCCCTTCAGGACATATTTTAGCATTTTATCTAGTTAATATAGAAGCGAACCAAGCAACGGGAATCTCACTTTTAGTTGCATCTGTTCAATATGATTGTCAGATAGCTTTCCCTGATATTCCATTAACATTTTCTCTCTCAATTTCTTGTCATTATTCCTTACTGAATTTCTCTACGTCCTTGGTGTTTACTGCCAACATTTGTAGATTATTATGTCTCCGCCATAACCATTGCTTAGCCTAAAAGGATTTTAGGCGAATCATTGGTAGGAATATAAGACAGAGGGCATTTAGCTTTTTTATCTCTTTCCTCATAAAACAATATAGCTAGTCCCCTAATCCCTTTTATTGTTCTTTTCTCACCTCCCTCCAATTAGTCAATATCTTCAAAATGACCCTCAGATAAGAACACAATCCTGGAGGTGAAATTGCTGTTTAAAAAGGGCTCATACCTTTCCAACCACAACCCCTCCCTTCTCCCCTTCCCTGTACTCCCAATAAACACACCAGTTTTGAGTGGAACCACAAAAACTTTGTATTATTTTCCAAAGAACAGTAACTGGGGAGGAGGGGGGTGGCTGAAGGGAGGTTCAGGGCTGGGAGTGGCACATGGGGTGGTTGGTGGAGCCACCTCGGGTCCGGGGACCTCGGCGAGTGGCTGGGGCCTGGGACCACAGGGGGGTGGGCAGGATGAGGGGCTGGAGTGGGGACAGGGGCTGGAATGGGAACAGGAGCCAGGGGTGCCATCACTTCCCAGATCGCGGGACACAAGATTTTGCCCTGCTGTTCAAGCTGGTCCCACATTCAGTTGCACCACTCAGTGTCATCCCGGACCTTTTGCGCCAAGGTTCGTTGCACATCATGCAAAATGGCCACATGCTCCCTCATGAGGTCCTTGTGGATCCTCCTGTGTTTGTGGCTCCCCTGGGGTCGGGCGGCTGCCTCTGATGGCGTGGATCACCCCTCAGTGACAGCTGGTCCAGCTGTGGAGGAAAAGAAGGAGAGGCAGTCAGTCATCCATGCAGACACTGTGCATGAAGCCATGCCCTCCTGTGTGAGCAGTCCTCGGCCAGAGGATGGTGATATCTCGTGAGCCAGGCCATGTGTGGCCTGCACAGTAGGACCTACCTCACAGAGGCCCTGAGGTGCCCAGGGGATCACACTTCCCGCTATCCTACTCCCCTCCCATTCCACAGACAAGCAGGCAAGGGAAGTGTTCAGCCACAGTGGGATCCCATGGGCAGGACAGGGGTCTGAAGCAGCTCTCCTTCCATGGTGGCCACACTCACACCTGTGCCTGGCGGCGCTATCAGCGAGAGCGGGTGGTTCCTCGAGCGTGCAGGCATGGCCGTGTGCTGTGTGGGTCACTCCTCAGAGTGCTGGGGGCCATGAGTACACCCTTGTGTCCAGCCTGCTTCCAGCAGTGTCTGGTGGTGGGTGGGTGTCCCCCCAGGGGTCAGATGTGTGTGGGGCCTCCACACAACCTGTGAGCACGAGCCTATTGGTGCTCCGGGGCTAGCCCCTGAGGCCACGTGGTGCACACTGCTGCTGCACATGCTTGTATGTGCACTGAGTGCAGCACACTGCCCAGGCCGAGCAGGCCAAGCGACGATCGCTCCTTATCCCCTCTGCACCCATCTCCTCCACCCTGTGTATTTGTGGAAAACTGCCAGCACTCACCTGATGATCCCTCCCCAGCGTCAGCTGATGCCTGGGAGATGTCCAGGGCCTGGGGTACTGGCTCCAAGGTGAGGACAACCGTACTGGCTGTGTCTTCCTCTTCCTGCAGCTGCTGTTTGTCCTCCTCCTCTTCCTCAAGGAGCTCCGGCTGGGCGACCACCATCCCCCAGAATTCTGTGCAGCTCCTCGTAATATAGGCACGAGTGTGGTCCTGCCCCAGAGTGAGAGCTGTGCTCCCTGGCTCTGGTGTATCCTTGGTGCCACTCCTTGACCTTATTCCTGACTTGGTACAAGGTGCAGGGGTGGTGTCCCCTCTCGGCTAGAGCTTCAGCCATCCAGCTATAAATGTCAGCATTCCATCTCCGGGAGAAGGGATCCTGCAGGGTAGCCTCCTCCCCCCACAGCTCCAGGAAGGACAGGATCTCCGCCCCGGACCAGGAGGACACATGGCATTTGCTGCCCCTTGGTGGGTCCTGGTAGCCCTGGTGGTCCCTGTGAGTTTCGGGGGGCTTGTTGCTCAGCCATACCTCTGAATTGTGTTGCGGGAAGAGCTGCGCGGTCAGGTGCAGCTCTCGGGGCCAGCTTCCTGCCACAAGGCTTGTTCCGGGTGCTTGCAGCTTTAAGAGTCGTGATTAGTATGGACAGAGGGTCCACCAGGGCACCTGTGTTATTTCCTGGAGGCTGCTTCTTTTAAAAGAAATCCCTCCTCCCGGTCCACACACGCCTTTTTCTGAAAGAGCTTTTTTGGAGAACGAGTTGTTCCTCATAGAAAGAGGAGTACCACTGTCGGGAAAGCCCCTCTGTTCTTTTACTTACTTTTGAAAGAACACAACTGCAGTGTAGACATAACTCAATTTTTGTTGGAAAAACGGCCGTTTTCCCAACAAAACTCTGTAGTGTAGACATACCCTAATAAATTGGTACCTTGTTTTGAAAAATCTGCCTGCTGTTGCTGCAAATACTTACTGAGAGCATTGTGTCCTCAAGGAGTAAAGGACTAGCTTCCCAGAAGAGCCTTGCTCTGCTGGACTTAGTGCTGGGAGCCACGAAAGGTAGAAAGGGTCCACGGGCATTCAAATGCTCCATTTTGGAGTCCTAACCCTAGGGAACTTCATGGGACTTGTGGGGCCCGAATACTTAAGGGGTCACTCCTGAATGACTGGTTACAGGCTAGGGTACAGACAGAGCTTAGCATCTGGGACTGCCCCCAGGGTTCAGTTTTCTGCATTCAGTCTAGTTTTGTCATAGTCAGCACACTCCTCCAAGTTCTCTAGGCCACTCTGTACTGTTTCTGGATCATTACTGTTCTCAGATCTCCTTCTCATAACCATCAGCTATGAATTTCATGATTTTGCTAAAGATAAATGAAGATACTGAAAAATACTTCGGCCTAACAAAAATCCATGTAGTACTCAATTAGCCACATCCCCTCAACCTGATACATTGTCATTCATCATTACTTTTCATTTAAGGTCCCTCAATTCATTTTAGTCCATATGAAACTGCATATGTAAATTTTTGAATGATAATATATAAAATATTTTATTAAAATGCAGATACTGTATAGCAAATCAGATACTTTAACTTCACTCACTATTTTTATGATTCTATAAGGGTATATCTACACTTGCACCCTAGTTCGAACTAGGGATGCGAATGTAAGTGACCGAAATTGCTAATGAAGCGTGGATTTAAATATCTCTGATGGAATCCTGAAGACTATCTCTACGTTGCAAACATCAACCCCAAGTTCCCCGTGATGGCTATCTTTCTGCATGGTGCTTAATAAGCCAGGGAAAACATTGCTGAATGAGGAAAGACATGCATCCTCTCTCTCTGGCTACGTCTAGACTGCAAGTCTCTTTCAAAAGAGGCTTTTTCGAAAGATACTTTCGAAAGAGGCTTTTTCAAAAGTTACTTTTGAAAAAGTCTCTTTTGAAAAAGAGCGTCTAGACTGCAACCAGTACTTTGGAAAAAGCAAGCCGCTTTTTCGAAAGAGAGCACCCAGGCAGTCTGGATGCTCTCTTTCGAAAAAGCACAGTTTGCATTACATAGCTCCTTTTTTCGAAAGAGCACTTTCGAAAAAAGGCTTTATTCCTCGTGAAATGAGGAGTACCGCCGTCGAAAGAAAAGCCACGCTCTTTTGATTTAATTTCAAAAGAACGCGGCTGTAGTCTAGACGCAGGTGAAGTTTTTTCGAAAAAAGGCTACTTTTTTTGAAAAAACCCTGCAGTCTAGACACAGCCTCTGGGTCTGAACACTACCGCCTCCACGCTTCCTCCAAAGATCAAGAATCTGGGACTTGTAGAACCCTTGTTCTTCTGCAGAGTTTCACAGACAGGGACCTTGGAACCAGCCTACCAGCTACATATTGTATTAGGAGGCCGCAGTAAAAGAATGGGCACTATTACGGAGTAAGTATTCTAGCATACAACATGAAAAATGCAGCAGTTAGATGAATGAAGTAAATGTACCTTGAAATTCCTCATTTATTTGTACTGCTGTAGTGCCTGTGCTAATATGACCATCCTACAGAAGTAAAAGATATAAGAATCTATTGCAATCCCCACTTACCCACCACCAGAGCCTCCATTTTTGCCAAAATGAGTGCGAGGTTCACTCGAAGCCAGCTTAAGCAGTTCATTCCATTCCCGTTCCCACTCCTCTTCTGTATAAACTAAACCCGACTAGGGAAGAAAAGAGGGTATTTCAGGATATAATATTAAAAATATCAACAGCATCAGACAATAGACAACAGACATTATGACCCACTAGAATATGTTGTGTTTCGTTGATAGTGCTATTTGAGTAAGACCTGCAATCGCCTTGGATTATGCCAGTATCACTTTTTTCAAATCAAATCACCAAATTATCAAAACAGATCAAAGACAGCTACTATATTTTGGATAAAACTCTCAAAGGGATAGAAGTGTTAATCTGTAACTTAAAAAACCCAAGTCCTTTGAGGTGCTAGAAGACCACTCATTTTGGATAGAATTTCCAGCAGTAGGCTTGGAATTTGCTTCTGCAAAAGTGCCCCGTTCACATTTTTTCTCCATATCAAGCAAAGGAAGTGGAGGAGAATTGAACACAGGTCTCCTGCGTTCCAGGAGAGTACTAAAACCAGTGGGTTAAAAAGGTTATAAGACAGCTCCTTCCCTCCCTCAGCATTTTCTCAATTTAGTTCTTCTTTGCATTTGTCAAAATAGCTGACATTTTCTTGAGTCAGGTCAAAATGAAATGTTTTGTTTCGACATTACCAATATTTTTTCAGTTCGGTTAAAATTATTTCATGAACTCAACACATGGTTTTTGGTCAAAGACGTGGCACTTTCAGCAACAAAACTATGGGAAAAAAACCTGCCCTGATGTACACGGCACACCTTCCTTGACAGGCTGGGGACACCAGAACATGTGACACCTTCTCTTCCCACCTCCATTGGGTTTTATTCAGACTGGAGGATGCCTACCCAATGACAGCTCAACTGTCTCATTAGCTCAGGAAGCTCAAACTAGATTCTTATTAGTGCTGTAATTCAGAACCATTGCTCTCAGTAGCGCTGCTGCCAGCAACAAGCAAGGGAAACACATATATGAATAGCATAAACAGAAGCCAAAAATATTTGGTCATACTCTACTAGCTGTGTATGGCCAACATGGATGCTGGAGTGCTTAGAAAATTATGGATTTTATTTGTGTGCACTACATCTTGCCATTGATGGAAGCGTACATCCTCCATACTGAGAAAACAGAAGAATAAGCCTTATAACAGTGCATCACAGGTTTGAACACAACAGAAGCGAAGCAATCCAAAGGTGCTATCCATTATCCAGATTTCTAGAGTTTTCCTCGTCATTTTCTTTCAACAGCCTAACTAGAACGGTGCTGGTGTGAACTAGCTCCGCTCCCCACTGCTTTCCTGATAACGAAGCAATGCCAGCAGCTCCCCAATGAGATGGTAGAAAAGAAGGATTCTATATCCCCTCCGCACAGGCAGGCTGACTTTTTGTTCAAATGAAAGGGCTTTTCTTCTTTAAATTGTGGATGTGTGGAGATAAAGGGAAGAACTAAACCATAAGCCCGATTACTGTTAAGTTCAAATACTGGCTGCCTGCAAAATAAACAGCCACACGATTTCACGTCAGAATTGGCTGCACTGGAGGGACAGATGAAACTCCTCACTACAGACAGGTGAGCAGAGGCATGGGGACACTGCCTGGGAAACTGAGCTGTGTGCCGCTGGAAAGGTGTGAGCACTGGGGGTGAAACAGTTCCATGAGAGTTTGGGAAGGAGATAAAATATTATTAGTAGAGCTACTCCACAGTAATCACTACATCAGACACTGCCATAGCCTCCAGGGCTTCTGCGCTTCTGCTGCATGGGATGAATGTATGTAAAACAGCTGGGAGACCTGCACAGTTGCAGAAGACACAAGCCCCTACTCCTCCTTTGGTACAGGCCACTGCTGATCAACTATTTTAGTTGGTGTTTACGCAAGATATTTACCTATCACATGTGCTAACCATTTGTCTTTCCCTGCATGCTGCAATTTGTGGGTTTTAAAGTTTTCCATTGTTTTGGTTTTGAGCGCTGTGATGTTAAAAAAACAAACAATTTTTTTAAAAAAATCTTATTAATTGTGATTGTTTAGTTATTTGACTCTTCTATAAATAATATATGGAAACTTAGAGCCCCAAATATTCAGCTGAAACAAAAAACAGGACTGTGTAGCACTTTAAAGACTAACAAGATGGTTTAATAGGTGATGAGCTTTCGTGGGCCAGACCCACTTCCTCAGATCAAGTAGTGGAAGAAAATTGTCACAACCATATATACCAAAGGATACAATCAAAAAAATGAACACATATGAAAAGGACACATCAAATTTCAGAACAGAAGGGGGGTGGATGGGTGGAAAGGAGGGGAGGTAAATGTCTGTGAGCTAATGATATTAGAGGTGATAATTGGGGAAGCTATCTTTGCAATGGGTAAGATAATTAGCGTCTTTATTCAAATTTGAGTGTAAAGTGTCGAATTTAAGCATGAATGACAGTTCAGAGGATTCTCTTTGAAGTGAAGTCTTAAAAGGTCTTTGAAGCAGGATGCAGGTAATCAAGTTGTTGAGACAATGTCCTTTGGTTGAAATGGCAAGAAACTGTTTTTTCTTTGTGATCCTGTCTGATATCTGTTTTGTGGGCATTGATCTACCAAATATTCAGGTAGCTCCAAGCCAGCCTTATATTTCGTAGGTGTAAAGATATGTATATGTAACTTTCATGTGCTTTTGAATGCTGGTTTTCATGCAGAAAGGTTTGACCTTTGTGCAAAACGGATGCACAAGGAATTCATAAGAGTAAAAGCTTTTGTATCACAGGTAGGGATAATATTTCCCTAAAAGTCATCAGCTACACAATGGTTTAAACTCTCTTTAAGCCACACAGACCTCTTTATTCTGTTGTGTCTGTTGCCATCTCCATCTTCTCTTCAATGCTTCCCTTTCAGCTCCGCTTCTCATCATGGTGTAGAGTGCTTTACGTAACACAAGGTCCCTGTCATGAAATCCCCACATCCCTAGAGCACAAAAATGCACTGAGTAATAGTGATCCAGTTACGAAACAGAAATCAAGTGCCTGACACACAAAACCCCGTTCTTTAAAGAAAAGCAGTGCACATTATAAATCTTCATATTAGCTAATGATTCCTTTTCATTAGTTTCAAGCTTTCTTAATGGAAATTGTCAGCAGAAATTGGCTAATAAAGAATAATGCTGAACTCTAGCGAAGTTTAAGGTCTGGTTATGAAAAGACTATGGCTTTGAGCTGTCGGGTAATTTTGTGTTTGCAAGACTTCAACGTTGCTACAAGGGAATGAACATTCAATGCATAGGGCTTCATTTTAGCTCCAGAGTTAATTGAACATGCAGACATCATCCGAATGCTAAGGATAACTACAGGCACTTGTGGCCATAGCAGATACAAACACCTACAGGCTTGTACTGTCATAATGCATAATGATACATGTCCCTAGATATCTAAGTCCTGGTAAAGAGACAGACACTCATGACTCCCGGAAGCCTCAAAATACATGCAGCCAAAGGCTTCCAAACTCTTGGAAGATAACAAAAAATATACAGGCTTCATGCATGTGAGAAAAAGTAACCTATAATAAAAGAGAGTCAGACCATGACACGTACCCATAGACAGCTGTGCTTAATGTGTTATATTGCCAGTCATTGGCATTAAATATATTTGTTGCAAAGTGTGCCATCACAATGCCTGACCAACTACTGTAAATAATTTGCAATCTGTTGTAGCTGAGATGAATTGGATAAACTCCATTTATAAAAGACACCTCAAAAGAAATCAAGCCTGGTTGATTTTTGGTTATGTCTTTATATTTCAAAAAGAAAATGACATCACTAAGTGATTCCAAAAAGCCCCCCACATGCTTTCAAGACAAGGGTCTCAAACTCTCAGCTACCTACAGCCCAAGCACTTCCCCAGTCCAGTCCATAAAATACCTTGAAAAAGTCACTTAATCTGGCCACCCTGTCTGCTGGCCCAGGGAGGGTTGGTGCACGGGGATTCACTTGCATGCACAGCTCCCAGCAGCACTCAGACCCCAATGCTCACATAGGCCCAGCTGCAGAGAGTGCTGCTTGATCTGGGAAACTGTGCTGGCTACCTCTGCTGTGATACAAGCCACGCTGGCCAGAGAGCTGCCCGAGCTGATGCTTCTGCAGCTAGTGGGGCGGGGCCGGTGGATTTTGCTTTTGGTTGCCCTCGGTGAGGGTGGGGAGTAGAGTTGGCATTACTGATATCTAGTCAGTTTCACAGCTTATACCTATGGACGGGACGGCTCTGCACACACTTCCCCCGGCCACAGGGACGTGCTAGTGGCATGGAGCTAACAGACAGAAGCTGCTCTTGCACTGGTGGTGGTGGTGGCTGGGGCCTCCGGTGGGTTTTAAATCACCCAGGGCAGCAGACGGGGCTGGGGGATGCATGGGAGGGGGAGGAAGGCTCGGAGGTCCCCCACTGAAGCTGCTGCCAGAGGGAGGTACCCATTGGCCCGCTGGGAAGATTTGAGGACTGGCCCTGGTCCTAAAGGTAAATTGAGATTGAGACCCCTGGTTTAAGAGAAAGATCACTTTCTGAAGTCCTACTGATACAGTATTTCAGCACAAAAGTGATTGTGAGAAAATAAACTGTGTTACACTTCCAACCGTGTATTCACAGGGTTTTCTTCTGGTGCTCTTGGTACAAATCTTTGCAGTGCCTTTGAATAAATGGTAAATACACAGGAAATCCCTTATTTCTGAAAAAAATTGGTTTACAGGGTTCTTTTGAAAAAGAGTTTTTTTGGTCGAAAGAACCCCGTTCAGACTGATTTTTTCCCCCAAAAATATCTCTTCTGAAAAAGAGATGCAATTGGATGCAATTATGCGAATGAAGCACGAGATTTGTAAATCAGCACTTCATTTGCAATTTTGAAGTCCTTCATTTACATTCCTCTGTCGAAAGTGAAAGTAAGTCTAGATGTAGCCTCTGAACTGCACAACTGTCTCTCCCAAAGACAGGACACATCAGGAATATTTATATTTTTAATGATAGGAAGGATGTTTATTTAACAAGTGACAGAGGATTATGGACCTGAGCCTGCATTTAGGAGGCAGCCAAAATCCCAGTGAAGCCAACAGGAGTTTGGCCTACACCAGGACTGCAGGGCTAGGCCCCTTACAGAAAATGTCCCCTAGCTTAGTGGCTAGAGTTTATCTTGCTGTTTAAACTCCGTCTCAGAAAGCAAGATGAAAACTTCCACCTTCCTCATGTAAGCCAGCGAGATAGGTACGTAGCACAAACATTGCTCCAGGGAGAAGCTAAATAATAGAGAATAGCAGCCTCATATACTGTAAAGGTGTGTTTACACTGCACCCCCCCCCACACACACACTCTGACAGAGTCTGAGTGCTCAGCTCATCTGACTCAGGCATGGGGGGCTCAGACTATAGAGCTAAAAAGAGACCCAGTCTACTTGCCGGGTTTCAGAGTCCAGGCCCCAGGCCAAGAGGGATGTCTTTATTGCAAAACTTTTGATGGAAAAAGAGGAAAGTCGCAAACCTTCAAGAAAAGGTTTTATGTACCAGAAGCAGCTAATCCAGACTTTCCCTTACCTAATGAGGCAGCATGTAACAGGCAGTTTCCATCCCCGGTTGTAGCCAATGGAAGAAGACGTTTGCAACTTGTACACACTGTGGACCACCAGTTCAGTCGACCTGAAAAGAAAGTGTCTGTTAAAACAGGGAATATGTGTTAAGGCAGGTTGTGTGGTGTATGTAGGAGGATACAGGAAGGATGGATAACTCTGGTGGTTTTCAGAGCCTGTTCCATTCTCTCCTTGTAATCTTAACTTGCAAAACCAGAAGTTGGAGAAATGATGAAGAAGCTGTGATAGGAAGAGAAATCATATTGAAACCATTCTCTGAATATACCTAAGACTGGAACAGAAGGCAGCAAGAGTTCTTTGGGTTAAATTTTTATGCTATTCTCAAATACCATATGGAATTCCTACATTTAATGGTCATTGGCACTATATAAACAGAAGCTAGACTATAGCATTAAATAAAGTCTCATAAGACAAAAGCGTTCCTCTTGTGTTACGCAGACAGAGCACATACACTAGGTAAGAGATCGAATACATCAAGATTCTGTTTTTACTTTTGACTAAATGCTAGAGAATAAACATGTGGAAAATGTTGAGGCCTGATTGTCCTCTCACTCACATGAATGCAAATCATGGTTAGGTCAACAAAAATCAGTAATGACACCAATTCTCTCATTTATAATAATTCTACAGAGTCCAGCCGTAGGCAATTTGTTTTTATGTAGCTCTCCACAAATATGATCTAGCTCATCCCTGCCAACACCCCATGAAGTCAATTGTGCAGATGGTGAAAATGAGATACAGTGATGTGATGGGCCATATTGTTACAGATATTTAGGCACTTGAATATACAGGCAAGCTCCCTACTGAAATTTTCCAAAACATCCAAGCAGGTTAGGCACTTGCTCAAGCACTTTTGAAAATCCCAATAGGCATCCATCTGCATCTTTAGGCACCTAGATACCTCTGACAATTTGCCCTTAAGTGTCCTAATTACAGGAGAGAGAGAGAGAGAGAGAGAGAGAGAGAGTGACCGAGTCAAAGCCAGGACTAGAAACACAATTCCTGGCACACAGACTTGTCTGAGCCAGATGAGTGGAACATATTTTTAGGTATTATTTCTTTTGATTAAATGGGCACCTTTATGTTCTGTATGTAAACAAACGGATTAGAAATAGTTATTGTAAAAACAGTATGGGGCATTGATTACTAACAGTTCGTTTAGTTTGTGCATTACCTCACATCCTTTTAAAAAGGCTGTCAAGTTGTGAAGATTGCCATTAATACCATAAGTAACAAAGTCAACAGTTGGTGGCCGATCAATCAACATACATTTATGTCTTTTCCTGGCTTTATCCTCTCTTCCTTTCGAAAAATTATACTGCTGAAACGAGCAGCAACTTGGATAAGGAAATTCTTTTGTACAGATAGGTGGCATGATATTTCTTAACAATGGTTTTGCATGTTGTAATAATGCAAAGACTATTTGACAAAGACTTTTAAAAAATACTCAGAGGGGTAGCTGTGTATTGTACATACAATCCATTTGCAAGAGAAGACAATATCTATAGTGTTAGGATAGCTGGCAAGGCTTCTAAAATTAAGGTTCAAATACAAATCTAATGTCAATGTAATCAGATTGTTATTGGCTGTTAATGCTTATGATTACAAATAAATATACTAAAGCTTCTTTGCAGCAGTGGAAGCATACAGACACTGCATACTGATACTCCTTTTGTGAGCATCAATAAACATGTCTTTAATAATCAATTATTTCATTATCAGACTATAACTGTCATTATATTTCAATTATAACAGTCATTCAGGGATAAGAATTATTGTACTTTATGCAATAAATGCACTCTAGATTGATTACTAAGTGAACTTGGTAATCCTACATGAATTCAATAAGCAATTGATACATGCTTAACAACCCAAACCAATCTTTCAAAATTAAATGCACATTTGAGAAGCTTAATTTAAACTGCCCCTGGATAGCTTGGGAGAGATAAAATTGGAAATAAGTTATTGTTTTTAGCAACTCAAGTTTCTATGGGCTGTGAAATAACAACCTGTCACCTGCCTTGTACAGAATATTTTGGTACAAGCAGTGATAAGTTAAAGCAGAGTTGTCATTTAGGGCATGTCTTCAGTCATAGCACTGGAGACTGATGTTCTGGTATTCGATTTAGTGGGTCTAGTATAGACCCATAAATTGAACGCTGAGGGCAGCTCCAGATGGTGTCTGTACTCCTTGTACAGTAGTTGTGAGAAGCAGTAGGAATGGCACCAAGCTCGACTTAAGGTAAGCCAACTCCATCTACATATTCTACATAGCTGGAGTTGCATACCTTAAGCCGACCTTCTAGTGTAGACCAGGTGTTAAAGTAGACTTACAACCTAAAACACACATGACCTATGTGGAGGCTCTGTTGCACCGCAACACAGACCAGGAAAGAGCTAACTAACCCCCCTAAAACCTGATGTTCATAAATGTTTACAGTAGATCTAGGAGCATTTGATTACCATCAGAGGACATCTATGTAGATTGATTGATAACCATTCCATCCCTCAGTATAATTGAATCCAGCCTCTAGAAGATCGTGGTGATCACTTTCTTTTCAGTCGACCTGTGGCTACTATGGTTTTTTACCTGATATGAATAAGTTGGTGATTTATAAAATACTAGAAGATTTATCTGGTGTTGCTCGGGTCCTTAACTCAAATAAGTTTTGTTTTTCTTCATTTAAATCATTGTTCTGGGGTGGGGCTGAAGGTGAGGGGTTCAGTATGCAACTTGCCCTGGGGAGAGAGGACAATCTCAGCCCTCTCTCACTGCAGCAGCTTGGGGCCAGATGAGAGGTGCCCGTCCATGGCTGCTGCAGCTGGGGAAGTTGTGCATTTCCCCCAGGTGGGGGACAGACAGACACACACTCTTAAATATATAGAAGACTACAGCAGTCCCTTTCTCTACCTCTACCCTCGCAGGCACAATGGGGATGTAGCTGTCCCGATCCACATCTCTGGCCCCTTGCTGCCCCATGTGAGTATTCTGCAGTATAACTCCCTCCTGCCAGAGCCTTCCCTTTCCATTTCATGAGATCTAATTGAATTCGAGGCATATCCCATTATCCTGGCATACCATAACTTAAAGGTCAGAGTTTGGTTAAGACAAAGCTGTACACCAAATTTGGTGGTCCGAGTTCTTAACATTTAGGAGGAGCTCTTGAATAAATAATGGACTCATGGGCAGACAGACAGGCAGATGCACATCTCTAAAATATAGAGTAAAAGATGGACACATCTGCGTTGGATTATATTGGTCCAGGTAGGACCTGTCTGGTCCGGCACCCTCAGGACCTGCCTGATCCCAGATGAGGGAGTTTGCCAGACCAAGGGAGGTCATTTCTGACCCCCCCTGCTACTGGCCCCCCACAGTCCTCTGGTTTAGAGAGGTTCCACCTGTAAGAAAGAGGCCTGCTTAATATGGCCTCATGGTAACAGAAAGCCCTGTATTTCTATTTTTCAACCTAACCAATACATTCATCTACCAATTACATGAATTCTGGTGGAGGGAGTTAAAAAAGCAGCTTAAGTGAAGTCCCATATGGAAATAGAAATCTTTGAAACTGGTTTATTTCTGTTTTTCAAGACAAGATTAAGGACAAGCAAGATATTTTTCTCGCTCTCATATCTATATCTCCAGTTTGTCTTCCATTCAGACAGTGCCGTCATTTTCACCTTTCCTATTTATTAGTTTCATAATAGATGTTTTGGCTGTGTGGTCAGCTCCCCATTTCTCCCATCTTCACAAAGGGACACCTTTTCTGAGGGGCAGTAAAACGTTGTGGTAGTGGCACATTTCACTCACCTGTAGCTAGGGCTGCTGGAACAAATTTTGTAGCGGGGATGCTGAGAGTTACAGAACCAAGCTGTAAACCCTGAATATAAATAAACCACTTCAAACCAGAGGATGCACCTTTAGTTGTCAGCACCAATTCTTGAAGCCAGACACTATGGTCATCCTTGGAAATCTACCTCTTTTGCCTCAGATTTTTTTATTATTTAATTTTGAAGGTACAAAGCACCACTTAAAACCCCCCCACTAATATCTGGTTAAGAAAAACTATTAAGTGCAACCGTAAAAATGATACTAATACCTCCACTGCTCTTGGGGAAACTAACTCTTCGAGAGTAAGCCCGACATGAAAACTTTATGGGACCTTTGAACATTTTGTGACATATTTAAAACTTTCTCTTGAACACAAACTGTCCCAGGTAGCTGTGCCCGTGGACAGATTAAGCTCAAGGCCCCGGGACCTGAGCAGGTGAGCACAGATATTGAAGGCTTCAGAGACACACACAAGGACATTCTTGAAATCTTTTAATATGGATTACAGAGGTGTCCAAGTTGTGCCAAGGGGCAACTTGTAATCCTCAAAGATGACTGTGTTTAGAAGAAAAAGTGTATTTGACTATGAACTGAAAAGCAATCCTGAGTTATAAACCAAGACTATTCTGGCTGCTCTGATCCTGATTTTTTGCTGGGCTGGGGGTGAGGGGAGGCGAGAGATAAGAGCTGACTGCCTTAACCCTTAATGACTTAGTGCTTAGTGACTGCCGGGGAAAGCAGCAGCAGAGACTTGTGGACGGTGTTAGCTTCCTTTGCATTGCCTAAGTGGCACAAAGCAAAATGCAGAACAAGGCGGGGAGTGCATTGATTTGGAGCATTTTGACCTTTCTGAAATAATATGTTTGACTGGCAAGCCAAAGGACTGGACCACAGAAGTATCACATGGTTTGATATACAGTAGACTGCATAATGAAAGAATGTATTTGATGTTTAATCCTAATCTTTAATGTCCTCATACAAAATGCAGTCAAAATGCAGACAAAAGATCATAATAGGCAACAAAACTGACAGTGTTAAAAGACTGGCGTGCTGTTGCTTTCAGCTTTATTGTGGTGCATTATGAAATAACCCTCATCCACTCTACTGAACAGTCATCGCTACACTTAAGAGCAGTTCTAATTAATACAACAGTTGAACGCCTGATATTAAAGAACCTCTATGGATTATGTATGTACTGTGCCTTAGGGACACGTTCCTGT